ATTAAACAATTTTCAAATTTCAATTTTAAATTGAACTTTTCTCCAACTATTTTTTTTATTTAAATTGAATTTTTTTATTAAGTTTTTATCAATTCTAACACTCGTAAATATACATAACTAGCATGTAATTGACTTTTTAACTTTTTTAGTAGCTAAAAATATGTCAAAATTTATAAATATTTTTTTCTCCAAAATGTATTTCTTCCTTGCTAAATTATTTTCTACTTGCTAACAATTTAGTGTTTAGAAGAGAAGAAACAAGTTTTGAAAAACAAATTATCCATAAATTCTAGCATATTTTTAACTCGCTAAAAAATTATAATTGCATGCTAAAAATGATAAAAACCTAACAAAAAATATTTAATTTTAAACAAAATAATAGTTAGAGAGAGGTTTTTATTTTAAATTAGAAATTAAGGGACTAATTTAAAAAAAATTCAAAGCTATATTTTCTTAGCTTAATTATTTTTTAAAATTTTATTTTAATTTTTTGTTTTAAGAAATAAAAATATAGAAGAATTGATGAGAAAAAAAAAGAACCTAATTTTTTAAAATGAAATAATATTCAATTAAATATGATCGATATTAAAAACTATCTCAATGATTTTTGGGTCGATTTCTTGATATGTGATGGCAAAAGGCTAAACACTTAGGGGCAATACTCCGGAAGAACGAAAGAACGAACAACTTCTTGCCTAACCATAAGAGCAAATGTTATTCTAACGATATGGACGATAGCCTAATCGAAATTTTAAAAGGGACGTAATTAGAAAACATGTGATTAAACGGACCAAAAATTAACAAGAGCGACCAGATCTATAAACCACGAGCCTATTCCAATGAAGATAGATTGCAATCAAGAAGGAAGTGTATGTTTTGACAATAATAATTTATGTTCCTTTGAGGACAACCGGGTATGTCGTTTACACTATTGTGAATTAATTTGTTTGTTTGCCATTTTCGTACGATTTTCTTTACAAACTTATTATGCAAAGCTAAAGAAAAATCAGCTTTTCACCGGCTTTGCGTCGTAAGCATTGTAAAGAGGAGACAACTCGTTAGCATCTAATTTTTTTTCAATAAAATAAAAATACAAAAAAAAGAAAGAAAAAAGAAAAGGGACTTAAAAAATACAATTGGGAGATGCAATTAAAAAAGAGAAGAGAAAAGGATCGAAATAAAATGGGTTTGCGAGATGAGGGATCAAACCAAACTTAGCCCAAAAAACCCTAAAAAACCAAGTATAAAAGCTCTCTTTTTCTCCAAAAAAATGACGGCTACTCGTTCATCATTCCTTCAAAAATCTACCCTAGCCTCTAGCTCTCCCACATTCTAACCACCCACACGAAAAAGCACTCGACCACTTCTACCTACGAGTCCACACACGACCTCCCTCACCCTCGCCCAAGCCCTCTCGCCCACACACGACGAAGCCACCTACACTCGCAGGCGCGCCTCCCTCGGCGCAACTAGTAGCCCCGAGCACGTAGCGAGCATCACACATGCTTGTCTCGCCTAGCCCCAACAACGGCGCCCAAGCCGGTCAATGCCAACGCCCGCCGCCTAGCACCAACGCGAACCTACCGGCGCCCCAACCCCGCACCCACCGCCGGGGCATCGGCCCCGTACGCCTACCGGTGCCCGGGCTAGCGCCCTAGCCCCGTGTATGCCCGTCCGCCGGCGCATCAATCCCCGTGCTTGCCAACACCCTAGCCCCACGTGTGCCTACCAAGCACCGGCGCACACGACCACTCACCATTGCTCGCCTCTAGCCACACAACGGTGCCTCACCCCAAGCACACATTGCCTACCAGCGGCCACCGAGCCGGACATTCCAAATCTAACAGTCGTCACTCATAGTCGTCTTTCCTCCCCGTTGATCGAATACCAATCTTCATCAAGTTTGAAAAGAGTCCAAGTGATTCTCAATTCAACGGACTAGTCCGCCTCTTTTGTTTTTTTACGGTAATCTTTTTTTTTTTTTTTACTTTTTAGTATACTTTATTTTATTTTTATTTTAACATGTATTATATGTGATTCATATCGAGTATGTGCTCGCAATCAATTAATTGATCGTAGTGTGTAATTGATTAAATCTGTCGTTCATGTGTAATTTATTTGAATTGTGATGATGTGCGTTATTGTTGCGTTTGCAATTTGATGAATGATGTGTTGGTTTGAATGTTTGAACACTTGTTGTTATTTAGAATATATATCTTTAAAGCGCGTCTTGTGTGATAGTTTTATTTTTTTTAAAAAAGAACACAATGTCAAATCAAGCAAGTTGGATTTTTGTCATGTAAATCTATTTTCATCACATAATCAATTATGTACGTCAAGACGACTAATTTCGTCGATTTTTATTTTATTTTTTTGTCAATTTTTGTCTTTATTTTTGCCTTAATCGTTGATTTTTACTTGTTTTTTCCTTAATTGTCAATTTTTTTTTCAATGATTGCCTAAATTGCCTATTTTTATTTGTTTTTGCCTTAATTACCGATTTTTGCCTCCGATTGCCTAAGTTGTTGATTTTTATTAATTTTTGCCTAAATCATTGACTTTTGCCTATGATTGCCTAAATTATTGATTTTTGTCTATGATTGTCTAAATGGTCGACTTTTGCCTATATTTGTATAGATTGCTGATTTTTTTGCCTAATTACCAATTTTTGCCCAATCATTGATTTTTGTCGATTTTGTCAATTTTATCATTATTTGCCTGTTTATCCATTTTGCCAAGTTTGTCTAATTTTTTGCATATTTGTCAATTTTTGTCTATTTTATTTTATCTTTTTTGTTATCCTTGCATTTATTATTTTTAGCCATCTATTACAGAGTGAGAACGAGATCCGTGACTAGTCAAGTCCTAAATCACTCAATTAGTAGGTAAATGCTTGAGAGATACGTATAGAAATTCACCATCAAAAATCAAATTAATATTGTATGCAATGCAGCTTGCCTTAGGCAAGACGAGGTATGGTGATTTTTAATCTTCCCTACACGTAATGAACCCTTTTATCAAGAACTCCGAATAGACCGAGTCATAGGGTTTCCTAGTAACCATAATACTAGGTGTGACTCCAATCATTTTTGCCTATTTTTCCCATTTTCACCTCAACTCGTCGCCCTCACCACCGACGTCGCCTCCGCAATGATGATTTGCAATTTTAGGGGTTTTTTTTTATTTTTTAAAGTCATACACCTTAAACTCTTAGCAAATTTGGCAATTTTATGTCCATATTATCAAATTGCGTAGTTTGTACCTCAAACTATTGGTTATTTGAACAAAATTGATCCAATCTCTCTAATTATCATTATATGTAACTGGTCAATCGAATTGACCATTACTTGGAATGCCAAAACGACGTCGTTTTGGCATTCCACTCGTTAATTATATTTAAAAAAATTAAAAAATATTTTTAATCCCCTTAATCTTAAACTTTTTCTTATAAATATTTTATAAATTATATATATAAATATTTTTATCCTCCTAATTTTGAACTTTTTTAAAAACTTTTTTTGTAACATATTATAAACACTTTATAAATTTTTTTTATAATTTATAATTCATAAAATTAGGAGGTCAACTCTTAATTATGCTCATTTTAATTTATAAAATATTATAATTTATATTATAAACATTTTAATGCTCATTGGATATTATTAACATTTTATAAAAAATATCGTAAAAACAATTAACAATAGATAATTTCTATACATTAAAAAGAACATTTTATAAATTAAAATGAGCATAATTAAGGATTGACTCTTCTAATTTTATAATTTATAAAATATAAATTATAAAAAATATATATATTTTACAAAACTTTTACAGTATTTTATAAAAAAAGAATTTTAAAAAGTTCAAAATTATGGGGTTAAAAATATTTTTGATGTAATTTATAAAATATTTATAATATTTTATAAGAGACAAGTTTAAAAAATTCAAGATTAGGTGGTCAAAAATATTTATAAAAAAAACATAATTAATAGCGAAATGCCAAAACGACGACTTTTTGGCATTTCAAATAATAGTTTGGAGTTCAAATCATGTAATTTGATACTAAGAATTTGAAATTGTCAAATAAAAATAGAACAGAGGCAAATTTTGCTATTAAAAAAATTTTTAAATTTTAATTTTAAATTAAACTTTTCTCCAACTATTGTTTTTATTTAAATTGAATTCTTTTATTGAGTTCTTATCAATTCGACAATGTAAATATACATAACTAGCATGTGATTAACTTTTTTAATATCTAAAAATATATGAAAATTTATTAATGTTTTTTTTTCTCAAAATGTATTTCTTCCTTACTAAAATATTTTTTTGATTGCTAACAATTTAGCGTTTAGAAGAGAAGAAACAAGTTTTGAAAAAAACAAAATTATCCCTAAATTCTGGCATATTTTTAGCTACTAAAAAAAATTATAATTGCATTTTTAAAAATGATAAAAACCTAACAAAAAAATATTTAATTTTAAATAAAATAATAGTTAGAGAGAGGTTTTTATTTGAAATTAGAAGTTAAGGGATTGATTTTTAAAAAACTAAAAATAAATTTCGAAGCTAAATTTTTCTTTGCTTAATCATTTTTTTAAAATTTATTCTATTTTTTTGTTTTAAAAAATTAGAAATATAGAAGAATTAACAGGAAAGAAAACTAATTTTTAAAAATAAAATAATATTAAATTAAATATGATGCATGCTAAAAGATTGAATAATTGGTTTGCAAATAATTCGTTTTCCAAGTTTGAAGGACTAATATGTAATTTACTCAATCAACTTGGGGCGGACCTCATGTTTCTACCAGAACCTCAATAGGAGAAAATCTCTGAGCCACAGCCGGCAGTAGAAGAAACCCCAAGCAGCAAAAGCAACCATCCATCCTCTGCTGTCCTCGTCGAGCAACGAAAAGACATGGAATGCTGCTATATATGACGTCTGCCACACCACATCCTCACCACAATCTTCTGCAAACTCCTAATAACAACTCTTGCAGAATGCAAGGTGCGTTTGCAAGCCATGGATTCAGATTCACTCGCGCCCTATTTTTGCTAATACATTCAAACAATCCACCACTTCCACTGGGACGACCTCCCTTGTGTTGTGTGTGAAAACTGATGACCTCTACTATCTCGAATTCCCTCAAGGATCAGAGTCTCCTTACTCTTGAAATCTTTTAGCAGAGTTCGTGAAGAGACCACCGTCATCGCTGCCAGAAGTAAAAGTTTCTCGAAGCGAGATGCTGGAGAGATAAAATCATCAATTCGAGCAATTGTTCATGAACCAAGCGTTGTCTCACTCAAAGATATCGTAAAGCGCTTGCGAGGTTAGGAAACTCAACTGCGGGGGTCCTAATTAAGAAAATGTGATATCAAGATCTATCCATTTCTCCTCCTTATCCTAATTATTGACTTGCAATATCTAATTGTATAATGATCTACATCTTTGAGTTGTGTTGGATGAGGTTCTGTTCGTTTACGAACAGTTGTTGCAAATCTGGGTAAGTTTTAAATCTTTTTTTATTTTGTGTTATTATCTTGTGACAATACAATGATTTTGTTGGTCATGAATCCATGTTTTGTTTCTCATTACCCCTGCTCCCAACAAACAATTCTTGTGTGTGGTTAGTGAATGGCTTCTACTGAACATTGCCAGCATTCTACATTTTACCTACACGGGGCTGTAATGGAAACATTTTCAGGTATCATAGAATATCTAGTAACTCTTTTTTTTCCCTTTCAAAAAGGCTACATGGTGTCTGTCATCTAATGATTAATAGTTTATTATAGGAACCCTGCCTACCTTGGCTTGGAATTGAAGTGACTAATGCTTGTGCAGCTAATCTACAAATATGCAGAAGATTATTGAACATCCCAATGTCTGATAAGCTTGACAAGGTATAAACGTACTCTATGCTTGCAGCTTGTTTCTGAAAAAAACATGGTTCTTTGGTGAAAGTCATCTTTACACAAACACTGACTTATATTAGCCAGGAGTTTGTTAACAGAAATCAGGATATTGATTTCTGGGTCAAGAGAGCTGCCCCGACCTTCTCGAAAATGTTTCTTATACCAGCAGTACCACTGCTAATGAATCATTTCTTCCTTGGTTGTATAGCTTGATAAACCGAACTTGAAAGAATTGTTTTCTGTTGCTGAAGGAAAACAGGACTTATCAAGTCAAGTTGGCCAGGGTGGGGATGATAATAATTTGAAGGATATTGATCCTTTAGACGAGGAATTCAAAACATGGCAGCAGGTTGGAAAGATATAGAGAGTTACGAATTTTGGATTTTAAGCCTATTTCTAAATCTCTAGAGTTAGGAAATGAAATCCCCAAATTTTGTTTAGAGAGAAAAGCAGGAATTAATAACAAGACTTGCTTTAGTTCCGAATTCCGGCTTCTCATCTCTCAAACGGAAGTGAAGAATCCTTGAATTATGAATCTAAAGATGGTGTTGCTTGAAGAGCCAGCTTCTCGTGCCCTAGACTCTTGCTGATAATGAAAAGGGATGGATGCGATATCCTACAAGGGATGCAGGATGCTTGCATCCACTTCATGTATCTCTGCCTCTTGCCATATGAAACTTGAGTTTCGTATGCGAATTCATACGGGCACAAAATTTTGTTCCAACAAGTTAATGTCTTCTTTTCCAAACAACAGCAAGTCTTGTGTTGTTATACTATGATTATTGTTCTTGAATCTTGAATCTCATTCACTATTATTTTCTTATCTCAAGTTCTAATTAATAAAAAGCTAAAGGCAGCATTTCTTCTTTCCAAGATTCAAAGATAGTTCATCACATAAACTATAGAGGTATATATTCAAGCAAACAACATACGTTGCCAAATATATTAGAGCATGCAACTAAAAGAAAATTATACATAAATCAACCAAAATGCATCAACGTGCATAAATTAATTTACATCATGCTCTCTGTTCTATTTTACATGAAAAATAATTATGTCGCAATAGTCTTCCCCAAATTCTGATATACCTTTATTGCCATGATGATACAGAATGAATCATAACAAATTAAAGACCATAAGAATTACTTACCGATGACATAATATTCACCGTTCCTCTATGTCCTCTGCACCAATTTCATCTCTACAGTTTCGAGTCCTTGAAGACCACTCCCTATTGAAGACCATCCCTCGAAAAGAGGTCAATCTCGAGCCTGATCCACCTTCTTTCTCTATTTGAGCACCAGTACCGTGCAGTATATTTTCCTCCAGAGGTGGAGCTGAAGGTTGGGCTCTACTGTGCATGTCCTTCTCCGCAGCTGACTGGATCCTGGGCTCTGCATCAGTGCGACATATGGGACAAGTTGAATGCGACCCAAGCCACATATCAATACACTCTACATGAAACATGTGCTTACAATTTGGTAGCACCCTAACCGTGTCACCTTCCACGACGGCACCCAAGCAAATTGAGCACTCCACAGGTTCACCATGGCCAGTCTGCTCTGCTAGCTTATATGTGAACACAGGAAGTGAGGCTATGACCAAAGGGTCAAGCCCATGCTTCGGTGGCTCGATAGAACTTTCTACATCCGGTCTAGTTTGCCTTCCTATATCAAAAAGGAACATGGCATGGCGTCTCCTTTGCTGGCCTCTTAGTAGAAATCTGGAATAAAGATGGAGAAGGATCAAAAGCAACACAAAGCCGAACGAACACAAGAACATGGCAACCATGATCTTCTGGTTAACACTTCTCCTGTGTTCATCATCAGAACCCATAGTTGCTTTTTTTAATTAATGGCAAGAATGCTGATCAAGTTTTGTGTTTTGCTTGATTTCTGATCAAATTTTTTTGAATAAAGAAGTCATTCACATCTCATTTGAATAGTAGAACACGGACACATGGGTGTTTTGCTTTGGAAAATGCTGTTGGGGTAGGATGCTTTTGCACCCAAATCTTGACTTCAGGATGCGGTCATAATCTCTTATCAATAGGAGTATTATTTATATCGGTATAAGGATTCGGGGTCAAAATATTACTTTTTTGTGTCAAGTAAAGGAAGATCGAGGAAAATTCAAGGTACTTACTTGAAAAATACACATCCCAATATCAGAGTAATGAAGAATGAGCTCATTGGTGAGGTAATTAGGATTATAAGATTTTAGAAATAACCAATTTTGGGTAATTTCTGGATGGAAGAAACTCCAATTAGGTAATTCACTCTAAATGGGCTTCTACAATATTACGAGGAAAAATAATTGTTTTCGATAAGAAGAAATCATATATGATGAATAATATAAAACTTAACTAATTTCTAATGATTATTAATATACATTTCCATTCTAATAAAAAAATCAATATTAACATAATTAACTATCAACTTGGCCAAAAACAATTGTAAAGGAAAAGATTTTTCAAATTATAATTTTTTCCATAAAGAAAAAACATTTATAAATTGTATTATAATTTCTGATATCTTTTTCATATTGAGAAACCATCCCTGAGATGGGATTAAATAATGGGAACAAATAACAAAATGAGAGAAAGTGTTGAGTTTTGAGCACACAAGACAAGAAATATTGAAGTAGGCCCATCATGATCTGGTTGCGTTGGCCTTGGAAATTTCTTATTCCAACTTGCATGTTTTCCTTCTCTTTACGTAATCCATCAACTGCCTGAGTTTTTTATCTACCAAAAATACTTTCGTGAATTTTTAGTCAATGGACCCTCAATCTCTACGCCCACAATTTGTTTGCTGTCAACATCAATTATGTGTTTTATATGTTTTGAAGAAAAATTAAATTTTACTTTGAAATGATGTTAAAAAAATGAGAGTGAGGCAGATATTAATTAATAGATTCAATTCTATCATCTCTGAATAGATTGTTAGAATATACAAAAACTCTATGAAATATATATATATATATAGTTCAAACATTTTGATTAACATTTATATTTTTATCAAAGAAAGAAAAGTTTCTTTATCAAAAACAAAAAAGGTTCAAATTTAGTGAACATGAAACCATCAAGGGGTCAAACTGATAAAAACAGAAAAAAGGATTTATTATATGTTATATCTATTTAAATTAGAGAATGCTTAGCATAAGGTCCCGTAGCTCAGTTGGTTAGAGCGTTGGTCTTATGAGCCGAAGGTCGCGGGTTCGAACCCCGCCGGGACCAGTATTAATAATATTCTTTGATCTTTTCGTTTTCCTAACCAACCAGCGGCCCACAGACAGCAAATAATCTTTAATAATTTCTTTTTCCAAGCTATTCAACGGCCCACAAACCACCAGGACCCTACCCCAATTAAAACCTAATCGACCAACTCTATCACACTTCAAAACAATTATCACATAAATAATTTATTTATCTTTTAAAATATCCTTTCATAACTAACAATAATTCTCTTTTCTTTCTTCAAACAGAAAATCAAAATATGATTATCTTTGGGAAGGTGATCACTACCTACAACCACATTCAAAGAATATATATATATATATATTTCATGGGAACAAATCTTATTAAAAACTAATAAATAAATGCGGTAATTAAGTAATTAATACCATGAAAGAATAATTATTTTATCATCTGTTCATAAACATAATTTGTAGGTTTTTATTTATAATTCTGAAATTTTCTTAAAAAATAAACTCATGATAATCTATTTATTTACATAAAAATAAAAAACACTAAATTTAGTGGAAGTTTAGAAGAGTCAATTGATCTCAGTTGTTGTCAATATTCCATGTTTATAGGTTGAGTTATAAATCAAGCTCGCGATTGACGGATGGGCTTCCTAAAATCTCGAATGAAAAGGCAGAAAAGAAACGATAGATATCATGATTTTTATTTCACATCATAAATATATTTATATGATAATTTTTTTTTATGTGTATTTGTGTTTCATTTTGACAAAAAAAAAAAAAAATTGTGATATTTAAGTTTAACATCAGTCACCATGAAAGATTATTACTTCTTCTTCTTCTTTTTCTTTTAATGGACACGAGTGATGGTTCTCTAAAAAAATAAATCCTTTTTTTTTTTTTTTCTTACACTTTTTTAGAAGCAGTGTATAAATTAAAAGAATATGTATGTCTATTTATCTTTAACAATGAAGCAGGGGCATTCCAATTGAAATCAATAAACCAGTCAACTGAAATATTGGAGGCAGATGTGTATTGCTGACTCATTATCAGTTAACCATTTAATTAGAAAACTGGAGTGATGTGCTGCTGATTGAGATGGGCCAACTTTAATTAATGAGTGTGAAAGGTAAGATCGTCCTAGTAGATATGAGAAACGATTCCTTCTATTGACTGTTGTAGAATTCCTTCACAAAAATAATATATACTCAATCCCTAAATTGCTTGGGATTTTTTTGTTACTATATCCTAATTAAATATATTTTATATCAAATATCTAAAACATCCATCAATGTTTTTGTTTTTCAGTTTCTTTATTTTTGCTTTCATGCACCTTTAAATTTCGAATATTTTAGGTCTTTGATATAAAATATATCTAGGTATGATATAGTAACAAACATTAATGAGAAAGTTGTATTAGTAATTTAAATATGAAATACTCACATTTAAAGATCTGTTAAGGTGATATTTTTTAATGAAAAATTCTAAACTTATCAAATAATAAACTCTTCTATATCAATGCAATACCATCTCACCAAAAAAAAAAAAAAAAAAAAAACTATAAAATATTAATAAATAATAAATTTGGATATAAATTTATAATTTAAGTTTTTTAAAGTAATTAGATATCAACATAATGAACTTTTGTTGAAGACCTATCAAAATAAATACTTAAACATAAAATCAATGATAAAAGAAAAACACAAAAAAAAATGTAAAAAAGAAAAAAAATCATTATCAATGAACCAAAAAAAGAGAAAATAAACATATTAATTGTCAAAATATTGTGTGCATAACAAAAAGGGAATCAAAATAAATAGTGCAATTATAAAAATACCACAAAAGAAACACACACAAAAACATTAAACATTAAACTTCAACTCAATAAACCCAAAAAATTAATTTAGTTCAAGAAAAAATGCATGCAAACCAACAATAATAGTCATGAACCCCAAAATAATTAAATAAATAAATAAATATTTTAATTGCTGCAAAATTGCATGCTCAACCAAAAAGGAATCAAAATAAATATTACAAGTATAAAACCATCATAAAAGAAATACACAATATATATATATTACTCTACATAATTACTTCTTATAAAATTTACTCTGGGTGAACAAAAATTATATACAAATTGTTAAAAAAATTACTTAAATTATGTTAAAAAAATTTATACTTTACTATTAACAAAATCACATATAAAAAAGCTCGAATCACCTGCACATACGTGGGTTACTTGCAAGTATAAAGTTATAATAGAGGAAATCAACTAATCAATAATTTGATTAGGAATCGGCACAATAATTAAGATTTTAAAGAGATTTATTTTATTTCTTTATTTTATAATTTCAAATATTGAGTTCAGCAATATGTCAACCTGAAAATACCCTTATCTCAAATAAAAGAGTTAAGGAGAACTTTTTAATATATTTTTTTCTTCAGATTAATAATGATTTGATCTGTAACTCAAATCCTCTCTTTCTAACTTTTCTTTTTGGTGTCACTCTTTTGATATGGACCTATCTAAAAACAATTCTTCCATATAGGCCCTGTCTTAATTGAGTCTCTGGAGAATTATTGTTATTTTTTTTTCCCCAATTGGACCAGTAAAGCATTCAAAAATTCTCATTTAAGTTTTGTGTCTGCATTCTTTATAATGTTTTTGACAAAAAAAACGTTAAAATGACATTATTTCTTACAAAAAAATTAATTTGGACGGAGTTTATGAAAATGAATATAAATAAAGATTAGATTTAATTGAGAATTTGAAAAAAAAAATTTAAATCCAATTGATGTAAAAATTGTTTTGGACATTTAATCAAGACTCCCTGTATAAAAAAAAACGTTTAAAGTTAATTTGCTCTTTAATTTTTGGATTACCCTCACATGTTTTTATACAAGCGACTATTTGTTTAAACGCCTTCAATCGTCATTATATTTTGAGTTTGCTTCTAGTTTATTCTCTTGATCAAAATTTTTAATCAATTTTTAAAAATTAATCTTCATAATAATAGATATAAATCAGTTGTGTTAAATAATAAAAATAATTTTATCAAATTACATACTATATAAAAATCACATGCTTATTTTGATTTAATTTAACCAGAAATTTTAACTAAAATGATAGCTTAGAAAATAACTCAAAATATAAAAACAAATTAGATACGTTTTTTTAAGGAATAGTTTATAAAATTAACTTATTATTCAAGGACAGACGACAATATTAACTTTTATTTTTTTTTCAAAAGGACTAGACCATATTGATTATTTGGGCCAACCTTCTCCACGTTGCATTTTTGTCTTTTCGAAATAATATACCGTGTTTCTTTTGTTTTATTTATTTATTTGTTTATTATTAATAAGATTCAAATTTAATATCTATTAAAAAAGAGATATTACTATCAATTGAGCTACTAAAATTTTCCCATTGTAACTACACTTTTTGAACCTCATTTTAATTTAGTTCAAGAAGCTCAAGAAAATACAAGAATATAAAATATAAATTTTATTTAAAAATGGTTATTAAACCATTAAATCTATGGACTAAAAACAGCAAAATTTAGTTTAAAAAAAAAAAAAAAGGTCTATAAAATACTCACAAAAAATTTGAAGAGGCAAAAAACCATCTAGGTATCTTAATCAAACCTTGTCAAGGTTTGTTCTGCTGTCACTATTAGCCTTCTATTGCTGAATTATTCAAATCCAAAAGAAAAAAAAAAAAAACACACACACACACACACCAGCCAACATTACACAACCCACATATGACAATCAACTTATAGTTGTTGAGTCCTTGATTGAAGGACAATGGTATTTTTATGATATTTTTTATATTTGCAAAATTGTCAAATATCTGTTGGTGAATGTTTTTGGACAGAAAAATAATAAAATAAAATGGTGGTCATGGGCCATAGTAATCCACATTTCCACACCCACTTTTATTCTTGCTCTTTATTTTCCTTTTTCAGGGCTTTCGCTTCTTCTTTACTTCAATTACTATTGTCACCACCACCTTTGTTTCCTCCAAGATACTTGACAGCCCATTTCCTTACAGGGCTGATTTCTCTGGTATGTCTTGCTTGCCAAGATTTTGTTTTTTTCTGTTTCTTCTTTCTGAAAGAACGCTTCCTTTTGGGATTTAAGTTTTTTTTTTGCTTTCACTTTAGATTGACCAATGTGATTTGAGGACTCCCATTTGTTGACTTTGAAAGATGGGGTGGGATCTGGATGTTATGGTTGCTGTTGCATTGATTTGTCTCAAACAGATTCGTTTTGAATCTAGTCGTTTGCTTAATATGATCAAGTATTAAAATTGATTTCTTGAATGGTGAAAGAAGAATTCTTTTTTTCCTGTTGTGGGTGCTGCAATTCAGTTCTCTTGAGAGTGTGTTTTATTGTTGGATAGAGGGATTGTTTCTGGGATTCTACTTCTTTTTTGGTTGGGAGAGAAGAGGAATTGAATGTTAGTTGCAAGGTAATGAGATGGATTAAGCTAGAATAGTGTGGAAATCTGTTGTTAGTGTGCATGATCAATTGGTTGTGTAACTATATGAACTCAAATTTCTTTTTGTTTCTTTCATAGGTCTCTCTCCTTTTCTTTTCTTGTCTTTTTTCTTTTTTTTTTCGTTCTGAATTACCTATGGTTATGTATGTCTCCCAGTTCAATTTGATTCGTCACTGACTGTTTGGTTAACCAAAAAAGGAAGAAAATAAGTTTTTCAAATGTCAATGTAACTTTTGCAAAATGTACACAAAGCTGATTTAGTTTCTATTTTACTGCCAGGTTCGTGTTAAGTTGGAGACACACATCTGACATCAGCAATGAGTTCTGGACATTGGTTTAAGACAATAATTAGCATAAAGAAAGGGAAGGATGAAAGCTCAAAACAAAAAAAGGTATTGAATCATCCAAAGTTAATCTGCTGTAAATGTATTTTGTTCTTATTTATATTTTCATAATGAATCCAGGTTCTTTACTCTGGTAAGGTTTATTGTAATTTGGCCATTCAATTCTTTTCCTATAAACTACTGCTGATTCAGGACTATATTGCAAGGTAGTTTGTTTATTGTTGGAGTTGTTATTATTATGATAATGGCCAATAAAGTTTTTTCTTTTTTAACTTATTATATGTTACCCACATCTGTTTTTTTTTACCTGATTAAATGTTACCGCACCTGTTCCTGCAATCTGAACAGGGGTCTTCCACTTCTGCAAAATCAAATGGCTTCAGATGGAAGAACAAGCTGCGAAAAGGATCTGCTAGTTTTGCAAATGGTTCCGGTGGGGCCAATCCCAGATTTCTTGGCATGCCAGTTGAGGATGTGGCTGCCACTCGAATTCAAACAGCATTCAGGGCCTATATGGTATCGATTGTCTGTACTACATGTACAACACATGGATGCATAAAAGTTTATGCATACAAATGGAAAGACATGCACATATGAATGTACAATGGTTCATTAAATCATTTCCTAATGATGCAGGCTAGGAAAACTCTTCGCCGTTTGAAAGGTACTGTGAGATTACAGATCATCACCCAAAATTATTCTGTCAAAAAGCAAGCTGCAACTACTTTGGACTACCTTCATTCTTGGAGCCAAATACAGGCCCAGATTAGAGTTCGTAGACTCTCTATGGTTACAGAAGGTCGGTTAAAACAGAAGAAATTAGAGGATCAACTAAAACTTGAGGCAAAGCTTCATGATCTGGAGGTTAGAATACAATTTAATGCTTATACAATCCATCAAACTACAACAATGATTTCTTTTGAACTGATGTAGAGTTGATGGATGTTGTAGTTATTTAGGTCTTAGTTTTTGTCACTAGAGGAAGTTGATGTAGAACTACTCTATGGAGTCACATCCATGGAACTTTGGTTGCTTATGACTTGCCACTCTTTGCAGTTTTAAGATTGTTCATACATCTACAATGTAACAGTAACATATGTCCTCTGGAAATATAAATAATGATGAAGGTCACTTGTTTCTCTTTCATTAGGAATTGAATGTTCAGAATTTTATGTTCTGGTAGTTTTGTTTACATCCATAGATTATTCTCCACTCCACTTACCATATGAGTCCATATCTCTCTAAGATTAACAATTGAAGTCAATAACAGGTTGAATGGTGTGGTGGCTTTGATACAATGGAGGAAACTCTTGCAAGAATCCATCAGAGGGAAGAAGCAGCAGTTAAGCGGGAGCGAGCGATGGCATATGCCTTTTCTCATCAGGTATTTCAAATTCCTAAAATGTTATTTTCATTATAGTTTCTTGGAAGGGGCAAAAACAAAATGGAAATCCCATAAAAAATCCCATGAATTACAGTGGAGGGCTAGCTCTGGTCATAGCTTTGGGCTGGTTAATTATGAACTTGGGAAAGGTAATTGGGGCTGGAGTTGGAAGGAGCGTTGGATCGCTGCCCGTCCATGGGAAAGCCGGATCCCTGCCAAGTTCGTTAGTCCAAAGAAAGCGAAGAACAAGCAGGCTGAAAAGGTTGATGAAAGCACAAAGTTGCCAACGAAAAAATCACCAGTTCTATCTAAACCATCATTGTCCAATGGGAGAGGAACTCCAACGGCACGTAGATTATCTTACCCACCAGCTGAAAAATGGGCTACGCTTGGGAGAAGCATTAAATCTGATGCAGCAAGCACTCAAGGTGAACAGTTGGTATCTTAGTACCAAGCAAAACTATAAATCACAGACTTGTTCTATTTTCGGTCATTTTTTGTTTCAGATAAGGAAAGGGAAAGTATATTTATGCTCATTACTGATTTTGTATAAGAGGAGTGGTGTGATAGCAATATGCTTTTGCATATAATACAGAAACTATAGATCAGGCCTGGATGTGTTACGGACAATTGTCATTCTTTTTGTGATTTTTTCTCCATGATATGTTTTTACTTTTTCTTTTTTGGAAGTTCATAAATATTTATGGTGTAAATAGACAGCAAATTATTCGTTGTGAATTCATGATGTATTTTGAAAGTTTTATTAATCCTTCAGTTGCTCTGTACCATGCCTCGCTCTTAGTTAGTGTTACTTTTTGGGAATTCTTGTTCTTCTGCTAGCAGACACTGTTGCATCTTTCTCATTTGTTTGTTTTGAAAAGTGGATTGAGGTTCTGCAGATTACATTCTTTCTGAACTGCCTAGATTCTTTATCAGCAGTTTTATTTCCACTTAAAAGATGCAGAGTTCTTCTAGTTGGTAGTAACATTAGAATTATATTGGTTGGACTGATGCCTTGGCGAACAAGTCCAGCTAGTGTTATGGCGTGCAAAAAAGATAAAACTCGTGAATTCTCGTTGTCATTTGTCAACAGAAGAGGATAGGCTGATGTAGGGCGATAATGTTTTTTCGTTTAAGGATTGGTACTGGATATGTACAAGAAAAAGGAAATCCACTCGGTTTGGTGGTTCATGAGATTTATGGTTGCACCTTTTTGCCTGTTTTGCTGGCTTAGTTAATGATTTAGACCAACTTCCTTATCCACCAAAGTTTCTTGCCTTCGTGATTTCCCTTATTAAAGTAAGCCTGTTATTGAACTATTCAGTTACAATGTTAATTAACGGACAGTTTAGCAACTGGTAATGTGCCTTTTTGGTAAGTTCATGTACTTAATTAGCTGAGGTCCTTGATCCTCCATGACTCTATCAGACACAGTAGTTCCTTATCCAACCAAGTGATTATGAACTATTGCTTGTTTTCAATGATGTTAATCCTTAATTCCTTAGCTCCATTAACCTCCAAACGTCTTTGTTATTGCTAGGGTAAGCACATGTTATGGTTTAGACCTTTCCTAGTTCTTTGAAACTAGTCACAAGAAGGTCATTAATTGTTAATATATTCTAGTTGTGCAATATACAGCACTCGTTCTCTACTGTTTTCTTTTCAATTTATGTATGGTTAAAATTATTGGAATGATCAAAACTTTAACTAATGTATTTTCTTAAAATATTCTTAATTAATAAAAAAAATCAATTCTTCCTTCCATTTTCTGTTCTTTGCTAACAAAAATTCAATATTGTTTATACTTTATATATATATATATACACACACACATAAAAATTCCAAAGGACAATTTTTTGTTACATGAAAATATTCATTTTTGTAGGAAGTTTACTGCATGCCAAAATTTTGAAAGTAAAATATTTTCATTAGTATTTTATTTTTCCATGATTGTTTTAAACTTGATTGGTAATTAACTTAATGATTTTTTTTTTGATTTACCACCTTAATTTTGGATAGTTTTTCCTCTTAAATTAATATTGGTTTCATGTAACGTAGGATTAAATTTGATAACTAATACTTTTAACAAAATAGTATTTTAAGAAAGCATGAACAAAAAATATCTCGTTATCTTTAAGCATAAAAAAGAAAGAAAAAATTAGAATTCATATTTTAAACATTAAGTTAATAAAAAATCAAGAATATTTTAGTCCAATCAAATATTTTGTTATAATTTGTGTTTTTATATATAGTTATAGATAAAAAAAATATGAATTTAATTTTGACAAAAGTATGATAATTATGATGCTTAAAAAATATGGATTTAACCTAGACAAAGTAAGCTGTGGATCACAGGATAAAAAAAAAAAAAATTACTGCCATAATAATGTTTTTCTATTTTGGGGAAGTAATGTAGAGTGAGTGAGAAAGACATTCCATTTTGACAAGAAGGACATAATGATATGAAGTTCTAAACCAAACTGTAATTGAGTGTCTTCCCCCACATGATCATTTAGGATTTGAATTCAAGAATAAGAGATGGAAAGAGAAAAAAAAAAAAAAAATTCTTTCCTAGATGATATAAGACTTGATTAGGAAGGGAATTACTCATGCACTGTATAAAAGTTTGCTTACAAATAATAATCTAATTATTAAGAATTATCAATGTTTCAATTAAAATTAACCAACAATAAATCAAAGGAGTCAGTCCTGTGATTAAAGAATTATAGGTATGCTCGATCTCTTCATTCATTTTTCAAATTTCAATAACATCAAAACATTCTTAGAAAACTACTTCAATTTCCATATCAAAATTGTTTTGCATTCTATTTTCAGAAAAAAAAAAAAAATCTTTTTAAACATTCCATTTTGGGTTACTTTCCTCTTTTAACCAACCAAATGCAGGCATTGAATTTATCAATTAAAAAAAGGATAAAAATACAGGCATTGAATTGAATAGCTTGCCACAGTTGTTAAACCCTTGAAAAAGAGTAAATTATAAATTAGTCCCTTTAGTTTTCCAAAAAAAATTAATAGTCTCTCTAGTTTCAAAAATAAATAAATAAATCACTTTTGTCCATTTCAAGCTTTTTCTTTTCAATTTTTTTTTCTTTTTTCTTTTTAAGAAATAGATAAAGGAAAAAAAGAAATAATATGAAAAAATTAATGAGAAAATAATGCATTTTTTTAAATAAAATAATATTAAACTAAATATGGTCAACACGAGTTTAATAAACTAATTAATTAGTTTTCAAAACTATAGTAATTATTTGAGTCATTTTGCAAAACTAGAATGACTAATTTATAATTTACTCAAGAAAAAAAATTAAAAAGCTCATTCCTTTAATGAATACTTAGCAATAATCACCAATGAAGCAAAGCTGATTGATTCTCTTATAAGTAAATATATATTATGCCAAAAATCATCAGGAACTCTTATGGATTACAAAGACTTGTTGCTTTAGCCCAACAGCTAATTAATTTGCTTTTACAAGCCACCCTCTACGTATATCACCCGATGAAATAGAAGAGCCAAACATATATAGAGGAAAGTGCATGCAGGTTAATTGTTCCCTAAATATATTGGTTTTCATCAAGATATCTGCAACATCAATTTTATTCTGGAAGATTCATACAGTTCATATAAATTAGTATAACTGAAAACTGATTTAACAAACTTAATTTTTTAAAAAAATACGGCTTAAAATGTAGATGATCATGAGAGAATAATATTAAAAAAAAAAAAATTAACGCCTTCCTGCATGTATAACACTATAAGTTATGCTAAACATACCATAATTAATATTGTTGTGACATAAACATAAATATAATGTGCATGTGAAATCGACCAACATCATCAATATAGCATGACTTTTAATGTCTTGATCATTCACCATGCATGCAATATTGTTTTATAAGTGAAACTTTTAACTTTCAAAGTCTAATTAATATATAAATAATTTTGAGTCATATATAACATTATTTAGAAATTTGAACACCATTTCTCTACCAAACTTTTTTTAATTAAATATTGGAGGAAACTATTGTATTAAATTAAAATTAAAATTATATTATTTTCTATAAATTTGTTACATATAACTTAATCCACGAAAAAATATTGTAGGAAAATATTGGAAATCAATATTAAAAATAGGAATTTATAAATTTGTAATCGTAAATAATAATTTTAAATTTTTAAATAGAAACCGGCATGACTACCATCAAACTTAACTTAATAGAATATAGAACCAAATTATATTGGCCCTTAAAAAAGAACCATTTTCTTTTGTCAATAAACAACATCTGGTGACCTATTATATACAAATTATCACCTCTTAATTTTATTTTTACATCTTATTGTTTTAGAATGAATTTAATTTCCATCCACTGAGGGCGGGTTTTCTTCTGTGCAAGAATTAGCCCCATGCAATATAAGATACCGTTACTTGATTGAACCTGTAAGTACTTACAAGTGAGTTATCGCTTCAATAATTTCTTTATAACTTTGCCACGAGTCTTCTACATGGAATTCGAATTCAAATGTTAGTGTTAGTGTTATTGATATAACAATATCTATTCGAACATTAATGATAAAGGTTATTGTATCTTCTATTGCAATGCCAAAACATCCCTGTGTAACTTCTGATTCAATTAATATATTCACCCTAATGTGGAAAAAAATAAATAAATGAAAACACATGAAAATGCAGCTTTCTACCTGCAGAAAATCTGTCTAATAACTGTGTTTAAGAATCACCACTCCATTGTTTTCATTCGTTTGAAAAAATTCATGTACCATAATTTATGTTTAATATAAATCCAATTAATCAATTCTGTTTATTTTAAATAATATTTGCGTTTATGGGTAGTTTATATTTTCTAAAAAAATTCAAATATAATAACGAGTTAGAATTTTTAATGAAAAGAAATATATTTACGTTACTTTGTTCGTTTTTTTTTTTTTTTTTTTTTTTTTTTTTTTTTTTTTACTTTTAGTTGCCAATTTATAACTCTCTAGAAAAACAAATTTACACTGTAAATAAAAAGGCCTTAACCAATTTAGCAAAATCTTTCTCCAACAGGTTAAAAGCAATTTTGTTACTCATTCATGCATGCATTCACCTTTCTAAAAATAAATGTAATCATCATCTGTTCTTATTAAAGTAAGCCTGTTATTGCACTATTCAGTAGTTAAGTACAATGTTAACAGACAGTTTAGCAAAAGGCAATGTGCCAACCAAGTGATTGTGAACCATTACTCGTTTTTAATGATATTGTTAATCCTTAATTCCTTAGCTCCATTAACTTCCAAGCTCCTTTGTTATTACTTATTACTGGGGTAGGCACATGTTACGGTTTAAACTTTAGACCTTTCCTAGTTCGTTGAAACCACGCACAAGGAGGTCATTAATTGTCAATATATTCTAGTTTTGGCATATATAGTAATTTTTTATGGGACTAGTTTTCTCCACATTCAACTCTATATATCTGGTTTTTTTTTTCCCTAGTTTTTCATGGATTCAAGATTATAGTAAATTGTCGTTGATTATAAAAGATAATAATTGATTAATGATGACTAATTATAGAAAATTAGAGACAACTAATAATATATCAAAAAGAAAAAAATAATACAAGTACTAATAGTAATTAGCTTTACAGGGTAATTAAAGGGATAAAAAAATGTATTCCAGAAAAGGAAAAGAAATCTAACAAAGGAATCAAAATTCTTAACAATAGGAATTTAGAAATTTGTAGGCCAAGGTAATTAAAGGGATAAAAAAATAATTTCATCAATTATAATGATAGTAAAAATGATAGATGTTATTGTGGTGGTCCTAGTGGTAGAGTAGGAGATGGATGAAGATGAGGTGATAGTAATTATAATATAGTAATAACAATAATATATTTTTAAAAAATTAATACCATTATCATATAAGGTGATAGTTAAAAAAGAGTGATGATGGTAGTAGTATAATAAAAATAATAATGATGGTGGAGGAGGAATGATGATAAAATAATAATAATAATAATTTTTATTATCGCTATCAATAGTGATGGTGGTAGTTGTTAAAAAAGAATGGTGACGTAATATATATACCCTCATTGCTAATAGAGGTAATGATGATAGTAGTGATTATGGTGATGATAGATAAAATAATAATTATTTTTTATCACTATTGTTAATGAAAATGGTAATGGTGATGATGTTTCTTGTGGTGATAAAAGCTGTTGATACACAATAAATATAAATAATATATCATTATTTAAAAAAAAAAATTTCACCTTTTACATTTGGAATGAAACTAAGATTAATTTTTATTCTTATTCCTACTCTAAAATAATAATTATTTTTTATCACTATTGTTAATGAAAATGGTAATGGTGATGATGTTTCTTGTGGTGATAAAAACAGTTGATACACAATAAATATAAATAATATATCATTATTTTTTAAAAAAAATTTCACCTTTTACATTTGGAATGAAACTAAGATTAATTTTTATTCTTATTCCTATTCTTCATTTTTTATTTTCATTTCATTCGTTTCAACCAAATAGTTACAAAATAAGAATAAAACTTTCATTTTTATTCTCACCACTCCATTCTTGGTAACTAGACACAACATGAAAAAAAAATTATAAATTAGTCCCTTTAATTTTTTGAAACAAATTAAATAGTACTCTCTAGTTTCAAAAACTAATAAATTAATCATTTTTTACCTTTTCGTGTTTTTTTTTTCAATTTTCTTTTGTCTTAAAAAAAATAGAAAAAGGAAAAAAAGAACTAAATAATATGAAAAGCTTAATGAAAAAATAATATATTTTTAAATAAAATAATATTAAATTAAGTATAGTCAACACAATTCAAGAGACTAATTAATTAATTAGTTTTTAAAATAAATTAATTATTCAAGTCATTTTGCAAAACTAAAAGAACTAATTTATAATTTACTCAAGAAAAAAAAGGTCATTCCTTTATAATGAAAATTTAGAAATAATCACCAATCAAGCAAAGCTGATTAATTCTCTTATAAATAGTATATATTATGCCAAAAATCGTCAGCACATGATTTCATCTTGGAGAACAAAGCAGCAATCTTTGGAGTCATGAACATTTACGGATCACAAAGACTTGTTGCTAGTCCTCCGCAGGTTGTTCCCCAGATGGGTTTTCAAGAATTGCAACATCAATTGTTAAAAACTCTGAAAAATTTAGACTCTAAATAGCTGTTGTTTTGGTCGACATAAATTTTACTCTGGAAGATTCATACATTTCATATAAATTAGTATAATTGAATACTGATTTAACAAACTTTTAAAAACAATAAATACGGCTTAAAATGTAGATGACATGAGAAAATAATACAAAGTTAACTCCTTCATGCATGTATAACACATTAACTAATGCAAAACGTACCATAATTAACATTGTTGTGACATGAACATAAATACAATGGGCATGTGAAATTGACCAGCACGCAATATTGTTTTATAAATGAAACTTTTAAATTTCAAAGTCTAATATATAAATAACTTTGAGTGATATATAACTTTATTTAGAGATCTGAACACAATTTCTCTACCAAACTTTTTTTAATTAAATATTGGAGGAAACTATAGTATTAAATTAAACCTAAAATTACATTATTTTTTATAAATTAGTTACATATAACTTAATCCAAAAAAATATTTTATGGTAATATAGGAAATCAATATTGAAATAGGAATTTATAACTTCGTAATAGTAAACAATTTTAAAATTTTAGATCCAAACCAGCATAATCATCATCAAACTCAACTCAATAGCATCTAGAACCAAATCATGTTGGTCCTTAAAAATGATCCATTTTCTTTTGTCATTAAACCACGTCTCTAGGTATAAATTATCAGCCCCTTATTTTATTTTTCTACATCGTTGTTTCGTAATTAGTTTAATTTCCACTCAATGAAAGCATGGTTTCTTCTGTGCATAAATTAGCACCATGTAATAATTACCATTACTTGATGGAAATTGCATTTCCTCACAAGTGAGGTGAATTAATAAATTTCTTAATACTTCATGGAAATTGTATGTCCTTATAAGTAAGGTGAATACGTACCTCTTCAATAAATTTCTTCTAAATTTGCCACTAATCTTCTATGTGGAACTCAAATTCGAATGTTAAAGTTATTGATCTATCATCTATTCAAGCATTGTGTCTTCTCTTGCAAGGCAAAAACATATAACTTCTGATTCAATATATATATATATATATTCACCCTAATGTGGAAAAAAATAAAAATGAAAACGCAGTTTAATAAAATTTTATAAAAATCTAACAATAATAAAAAAGTTACCTAAAAGCAAATAAATGCTTATGTAAAGAAATACTAAGAAACTGAAATATATTGGGAGCCTTTCTTTTATATATGTTTGCAGGTGAATTTTTTTGTTTGTGGGAAATGTTCAACGACTCATAAGTTTAACAATGCCGTTCTATAGATGTCATGTGTGGCTGCGGATGTGTAAAGCTCAATTAAATTAGTGAAGTTGAATTAGACCCAATATATTTTATACATGCATAAAAGTTGTGTCTAAGAATCACCACTCCAATGTTTTTATTCGTTTTAAAAATTTCATGTACCCTAGGTTTAAAATGAATCTAATTAATTAAGGATTAATATGCTTATTTGTTTTTATATAATACTTAAAATCATCAATTTGTTTTTAAGTTTTCAATTACATCTCATTTGTTTTTAAAAAATTTTAAAACGTTCAATTTATCATTCTAATCAATTTTTCTTATCATAAATAATTTTTTAATTAAAATGTTTTTATTAAAATGCAAAAAAAAAAAAAAATCTTAAAGTCACATGACCTAATTATTTTATTTTTGAAATCTTTATTTATTTATTTTTGCACTTCAATCAAAGACATTTAAATTAAAAAAAGAAATTTATGGTAAAAAAATTGAACTGAAGAGCAGATTGAATATTTTAAAAATTTTTAAGCATATTTGTGATACAGCTTATAAACCTAAAAACAAACATGAGATTTTAAGTATTATATAATGATAAATCAGTATATCTTTTCATTAATCAATTTTCTTTATTTTAAGTAATGTTTACATTTATGGGTATTTTATATTTTCTAGGAATTTTCAAATATAATAACAAGTAAGAATTTATAATGAAAAGAAATGCATTTATGTTACTTTGTTCATTTTTTCCTTTTAGTTGCCAATTTATTAATGAATGTCTAGAAAAAACGAATTTAGGCCGTAACCAATTTAGCAATAAAAAGTAAAGGAAATTTAAAGAGGAAGAAGGAATCCAAGAGAGAGAAACAGCATTCATTCAAATGGAAACACATGCACAGATGAATGTATAATGGTTCATTAAATCATTTCCTGATGATGCAGGCTAGGATAACTCAAAACCAAGCTCAACTACGTTGAACTACCTGCATCATTCATGGAGCCAAATACAGTTCCAGATTAGAGCCCGTCGACTCTGTATATATGGTTACAGAAGGCCGGTAATTAAGACAGAAGAAATTAGAGAATCAACGTAAACTTGAGTAAAAAAAGCTTCATGATCTGGAGCTTAGAATAAAATCTAAATTTCTTATAAAATCAATTAAAATGAAAGATGATTTTCTTTTGTGTTGAAAACTTGATATATGTAGAGTTATGGATGCTGGAGTCATTTCTTTGGAATTGCTGTTTGTAGATTGTTCGTATGCCTACAATATAACAGCGACATATGGTCTGCTGACAATACTAAAGTAATGATGAAGGTCACTTATTTCTCTTCCATTAGAAATAGAATGCTCAAAATTTATCTGCCTGTTTGTTGACGTCCTAAATTATTTCACCTCTCTGAGAGTTGTAGTTGAAATGAACCAGTGTTGAATGGAGTGGTGGCTTTGAAACAATGGAGGAAATCCTTGCAAGAATACATCAGAGAAAGAAGCAGCAGTTAATTTGGAATGGATGGTGGCATATGCCTTTTCTCATCAGTTTTTTCAAATTTTGTAATTTTATTTTCATTCATTATTAGCTTCCTGGAATTGGAATCCCATGAATTACAGTGGAGGGCCAGCTCTGGTCATTAGCCTTGGGCTGGTCGATTGTGAACTCGGGAATACTAATTGGGGCTGGAGCTGGAAGGAACGTCGATTGCTGCTCGTCCATGGAAAGCCGTGTGCCTGCCAATTCCGTCAGTCCGAAGAAAGCAAAGAACAAGCAGGGTAACATGGCTGATGAAAACAAAAAGTTGCCAACCAAAAAAACACCAGTTTCATCCAAGCCATCATTGTCTAATAGGAAAGAAACTCCAACGGCGAGGAGGTTATCTTACCCACCAGCCCAAAGACGGGCTTCACTTGAGGGAAGCACTAAATCTGATGCAGCACTACTGACACCGGAAAGACTAATTCTATTTTCGGTCTTTTTTGTTTCAGATAAGAGAAGGGGAATTTCTTTTACGCTCATCACTGATTTTGTTCAAGGGAAGTGGTGTGATAGTGAAATGCTTTTGCAATATATTACAGAAACTATAGATCAGGCCTTGATTTGTGACTGAATCGTCATTCTTCTTCGTGTTTTTTTTTTTCAATCCTTAATATGTTTTACCTTTTCTTTTTCGAAATTCAAACGCATTTATGGTATTTAGATAGACAGCATTTTGTCGGTGGTGAATCCAAGATGTACTTTTACAAGTCTTATCTTCAAGACGCATTTTATGATTGTACCTGTTTGCCTCTATTGCAGGCATCATTAAAAGATTTAGGCCAACTTCCTTACCCACCACAGTTTAATTTCTTGCTTTTTAGCTTTCACCAATCAAAGTAAGCCGGCCAGTTATTGCACTATTCAATTCCTAGGTTAACAGACAGCTCAGCAAGAGGCAATGTGTCTTTTTGGCAAGTGCATGCACTTAGCTGAGGTCCTTAATCCTCCATCAGAGGAGCCAGCCAACCAACTGATTATGAACCATTGCTTGTTTTTTAATGATGTTAATCCTTAATTCCCTCGATCCATTAAGTTCCCAACTCCCTTGTTATTAATTATTATTGAGAAAGGCACGTGTTATGGTTTGGAACATTAAAACCTTTCCTAAGTAATTCGTTGAAACTTGCCACGAGGAGGTCATTAATTGCCAATATTCTAGTTCTGGCATGCATACACTTTTCGTGGGGTTAAAAAATATGGGTTTAATCTAGATAGACATAATTTTGTGATTGTAAATCTAAAAATTATTTTCAATGAAATAGATTTGAATTTTAATGATTTTAATTTTTTGTAGTATATAATGGAAAAAGACTACTGCTGTTATCTAACATAGAATCTAACGGGCTTCGGGGAAAAAACAATCATGGATTTAATCGGGAAAAGAAGAAGCTAATTATAATGCTATTGTTCACCGGATAAAAAAGAAAATTACTTCCGTGTAATGTTTTTCTATTTTGAGCAAGTAATATAAAGTGATTAAGAAAGAAATTCTATTTTTACAATCATAAGAGTTTTTTTTTTAAAGATAATTGTCTATCAAAATAAATTCTAAACATGTGAAAAGATTGAGTAGGTAACCAAACTAGTAAGAAAGATATTTCTTGTATAATCATGATTACTGATGTTTTCAATTAAAAACAACAATAACCTCAAAGGTTAGTCAGTGTGCTTTATTTTTTTATTCAAAATTTTAGATTGGTTTTTAAAAATATTACGCAAGTAAGTATAGCCAATTGATTATGTATTTGATATATATTTTTTTTAGTAAAGCATATAGGAGTTATAATGATTTTAATTTATTTAATTATTATATAATGATTACCATTTATTGTCGTTATCGATATGTAACTAACAAAGGCTCTTGTTGAAAAATTTTTTTTTTTTATTAAATGCATGGGTCTACAATACAAATAGATTTTTAAAATGTTAATTTAAAATATCTTTATTGTAGAATAAAAAATAACAAATAAATAAAACAACAATTAGAATGTACTAAGGGTGACAATTTTGACTCAAAATATCGAAAAAATTTATAATACACAAGGAGTAACTACTGGAGTGTACAATAATTACTTCATAAATTCATTTGGATGAGAGAGATAAACACATATAAAGGAGAGAGGAACAAAAGAGAGAAAATTAAAAACAAAATTGAGCAAACATAGAAATCTTCTTATCATTTTTGGTTGGTCCGGATGTAATTTTATATGTCTATCTCTCTCCTCCAAGTGAATCTATTAAATAATTACTGTACATGACGAGTAGTTACTCCTTATGCATATTAAGAATATAGATGATTAAATTAGTTAGTTAGTTGTTAGTAGGTGGTTAGTTAGTTATCCTAGTTAATTACTGGTGAGAAGCGAGAAAATAAAATCTCCTCTTGTATATATATCAAATGTAAGTGAGTGGGAAATACTACCGTAGCATATATTCAAAATTCACTAGTTTCATTCATCTTAACATAGTATCAAAGCCATTCTTTTCTTTGTTTGGCCTTTGAGAAAAATTTTCTTTCTCAATCAAATTATCAAGCATTTTAACCAAGATTCTTGAAGTTTTCTTGAACCTATACCTCGTATTATTTTTTCTTTGGTGACAAGTCTTCAATCTTTGATTATATTCCCTCTCGTTGTCGGTATTTTCTATTTTCCCAAAATTTTCCCGAGAAAATTACTTCACCCATGGAAAATCAAAACACGGTTCTCGCTTTCGCACAATCGGCTATGCACGTAGATCTTAATGATCCTTTGTTTCTTCATCCTTCGATACGTCCAATTTAATTCTTGTGACCTACCTACTTCAAAGAGAGGATGACTACAATTCATGGAGCAAAGCTATGGTTATTTTATTGGAAGCTAAGAGCAAGGATGGGTTTATTAATGGCAAGTGCTCTAGATCGAGTTCGATTCACTCGATTTTACTCGATGGAAGAAGTGCAATGCACTCGTTCATGCTTGGTTGCTTAACTCGGTCTCGCTCGGTTGTTCAACAATTTGGTTTACTACCAATATGCTGAAGATGTGTGGAAAGATCTTAAAGAAAGATTCGATAAACAACATGGTGCCAAAATCTTCTCTCGCACGAGGAGATTAATTCATTGGTGTAAGGGTCGGACATCTGTCGTGACATATTACTCAAAGTTAAGGCATATATGGGATCAACTTGATTCTTTGATTCTTCCACCTACCGGTTTGTGTCCACATTGCCACAATGAAGTGTCTTAACCTCTCATTGCCTATGCACAACGAGTATAAATTGATGTAATTTTTAATGGGACTCGAATGATGTGTTTCAATTGGTGAGGTCTCAAATTCTTTTAATGCAACTAATGCCTACTCCATCTCGGGCATATTCCATGGTGTCCAACGAGGATCACAAAGGGGCATAAGTGCGGTCTCAACTCCTCCTACTACATTTACTTAACCAGGGGATAATACCCAATAAAACCGTATAGAAGAGATGCGAGAGGGGCATCAAAGAGATACTGCTTGTGATTATTGTCACATACCTGGATATTTGAAAGATAGTCGTTACAAGCTTCATGGTTATCCTTCGATCTTCGAAAGTCATTTGGCGATAACGAGAGGACGCAGGAGTGGTTCTATAAGTGTTGGAGATAGGCGAGAGGTCCTTTAATGCTCACAATGTGAATTGTGTTAGTGACAATGTTAGTATACCAGTTGTGTTACTCGACAATCATATTTCGGGTGGTTACTTAACCAAGTTATAGAGGATAATCTTTCGATAAACGGAGGATTCACTCTAGTTTTTTTCCTTCATCGGTATTAATAGATTCTTGATCTATTATATAAAGATTCAGAGAAGCATATTTAGTCCATCACACCTGCTACAAACATGACATGTATATATTTTTGTAGTGTGCTTAATGTTGAATCCGAGCTTGATGATATGTGGGTAGTAGATACATGAGCTAATGTACATATGATTGGTAAATTCCATTGCACAGTTAACCCTATAAAATTGGCATCTAATCTTTACGTTCGGTTGCCTAATGGTTCTATGACTTTAGTTACTCATGTGAAATCTATCTTACTTCCAAACTTTGTTCTTCACCATGTCCAATACCTACCGACCTTCAAATTTAGTCTCTTGTCGGTAGCTAAGTTCATCGTTAATAACCATTGCTTCACAAGTTTCTACCTTAACCTTTGTCTATTTCAAAACCTATGGACTGGAAGGACAAAGAGGATTGGTCAAGCACACGATGGACTCTATCATGTTCTACCATCTCGCTTTCTCAACTTTACCAAAAAATTTGTTTTCTTAGAACATGCTTCATTCCAATAATTCTATAACATCTCCTTATTGGAATTCTGTGTCTAGTCCATTTGTTTCGAATCACACCAATAAATGTCTTTGTAATGCTACTATTTGTAATACAAATTGTCATTCTAATATAGTTCCTTAGCATAAATGGTTTTTCCATATTTCACTTGCACGTCTCAAATTGATTCCTGCATTTCGGATACCTTCTAATCTTGATTTTTTACGTGATATACATCCTATTGTTAAACATGCCGATTTCCATTTCCTCATAGCACTTCGTCACACATTCTCCATTTGAAATTAGTCATGTGGATATATGGGGTCCATATAAAAATCCAACATACTGTTAAGAACGCTTTTTCTTGTCCATTATTGATGATTTTCCCAAAGGTACTTGGACTTTTCTTTTGCAACATAAATCTCAAGTCCTTCTATTACTTTAATAATTTCTTGCTCTCATTCACACTCAATTTTCTAGTGTTGTCCGTCGGATCCGATCCGATAGAGGTTCTAAGTTTCTTTCTAATGCTTGTCAAGCCTTTTTTGCTTCTAAAGGCATCTTACATGAAACCACTATCACCTATACCCCACAACAAAATGGGGTGGTTGAAAGAAAGTATAGGTATATTCTTGATATTGCTAGATCCATTATGTTTCAATCTCATATTCCTATCTAATTTTGGGGTGATTGTATTCGACTTCCACATATATCATCAACGGAACCCCTACACCTCTTCTAAATGGGAAAACTCCTTTTAACATTCTATTTCACAAACCCTTTGACTATTCTCATTTCGAGTCTTCGGTTGCTTATGCTATGCAAAAATCTTACCTTGTTTGGATAAATTTGCTCCTCGATCAACTACATGTGTTTGCCTAGGGTACCCTTACTCTAAAAAAGGATACAAATTGTTAGATTTAACAACTCAAAAAGTGTTTGTTTCCAAGGATGTCCTGTTCCAGGAGTCGTTGTTTCCTTTTCATCCTTCTTTTTTAAAATCTCCTTCCTTACCAAACAAGTCTACTAATCCTATTCAATAGTGGTTATATGATGATGTTGATAATACTTTCATTTCTCTTAGTCACGATTCCCATGTTCCAGCTCCAATATCACCTTTGTATGATAATGCTAATCATTCTTTGACTTCCCATAATTCTAGTCCCAATGCTCATGTTCCAATACCCTCTTCTTCTCCCACTAGTCATCTCCTAACCCATGACTCATCTCCCTCGAATGTATCTCATTTGCCTAGACGAGTCTTATTCGAGGTTTTAATACCTTTACGAAGATCTATAAGAATTTCAAAACTCGTTTTTTGGTATTTCGAATTTTCTTATCCTACTTTACTTGAAATCATCTTTCAATTCCTCTTATTTTGCTAGTCCATACACTATTCATAAATACATTTCTTATGATTCTTTGTTAGCCTTTCATTCCACCTTTGTCTCTTCATCTCATCTATCCGTGAGCCCACTTCCTATCATGAAGCCATTAAAGATCATAAGTGGATAAATGCTATGAATAAGGAAATCCAAGCTTTTAAATTTAACAACACATGGACTTTAGTTCCCTTGCCAGTAGATAAACATCTCATAGGCTGTAAATGGTTGTATAAAGCTAAGTTTAATCCATATAGGAGTGTCGAGCGATACAAGGCTCGGTTAGTAGCTAAAGGATATATCCAACTAGAAGGGATTGATTACAATGATACCTTTTCACCTGTTGTAAAGATGATTACTATGTGAACTGTTATTGCCTTGGCTACTATGCATAACCGGTCTTTATATCAATTAGATGTGACAATGCCTTTTTGCATGGTGATCTTCATGAGAAAGTCTACATATCTATACCCCTTGGTTTTGGCGGTAAAAGGGAGGGTTTAGTTTGTCGATGACTTAAATCCCTCTATGGCTTAAAACAAGCCTCTTGATAATGGAATTCCAAATTCATTGAAAAAATGGTCACCGTTGGTTTTTTTCGGTCTCCTCATGACTATTCAATGTTTGTAAAGTGTCAACATGGTCAAATGGTTATTTTGTTGGTTTATGCCGATGATATACTCCTAACGAGTGATGATGAAGAAGGTATTAAGGAATTAAAGATGTTTTTGCATCGAACTTTTACATTAAAGACATTGGTCCTATGAAATTCTTTTTATGGATCGAGGTTGCACGATCTAAGAAGCGTATTTATCTTAATCGATGTAAATACGATCTAGAGCTATTACATGATACTAGCCTACTTGGTTTCAAACCAATAGAGATTCCTCTTGAACGGAATTTAAAGTTAACTACAACGAGTATGATCAATCGGTTACTCCTCGCTCTTTCGATCCTCTTCTCACAAATCCATCCGAATATCGGAGGATGGTTGGCAAGCTGATTTATCTCACTCGTCATCGGGCTTGAAATTTGCTATCGTTGTTCGGATTCTAAGCCAATTTATGCATCAACTTAAAGCTTCACATATGGCCTCCGCTCTACGAGTCCCGAGATATCTTAAAGGCAATCCTGGCCGGGGTGTCTTACTTGATTCTTTTAGTCGAGTCGAAGTTGAGTGTCTTTTGTGATTTGGATTGGGCTTCTTGTCCCGTGATAAGGAAATCACTTACGAGCTTTTGTGTGTTTCTTGGTTCCTCTCTATTATCATGGAAAACTAAGAAGCAAACTAGCATCTCTCGTTCTTCCGTTGAGGTTGAGTATAGGGCGATGGCTATTGCCACATGTTAAGTCATATGGCTTGTTAGTTTGTTGCGAGATCTTGGGATAACATGCTTGGATGCCGCGAGCTTCATTGTGATAACAAGGTTGCCCCGCACATTGCCTCCAATCTCGTCTTTCATGAGAGGACTAAGCATATCGATATCGACTGTCGCTTAGTCCGTGAGAAATTGAAGTTTAGGTTGATCAAGCCGGTTTATGTTCCCACGACTCACCAAGTTGCGGACATTTTTACAAAACCTCTTGCTAGTAAACAATATCATTCTCTTCTTTCCAAGTTAGGAGTTTATGATGTCCATAAACCACCAAATTGAGGAGGAGTATTAAGAATATAAATGATTAAATTAGTTAGTTAGTTGTTAATAGGTGGTTAGTTAGTTATCCTAGTTAATTATCGATGAGAAGCGAGATGATAAAATCTCCTCTTGTATATATATCAAATGTAAGTGAGTGGAAAATACTACCGTAGTATATATTCAAAATTCATTTATTTCATTCATCTTAACGAGTATATTATAAAATTTCTCTAAAATACCATCAAGATATTTTGGTAAATCAACCCATTAAGAAAAGAGAATGACAAAACAATACTTGTCTAAACTATCCAACAGTGTTTCCTTGCCTTGAAATATGCTGAAGGAAATTCCCTAGAAATTATTTCCACATCAAAATTGTTTTGCTTTCTCATTTTCAAAAAATCAAAAATCATTTTAAAGATTCCCCATTTAATTATTATTATTATTTTAAATTATTATTATTATTATTATTATTATTATTTTTTTTTTGGGGGTAAAAGCAGAATCTCCTCTAGCAGCTGAAAATTACTTCCCTATTTTAACCAAGGCATTGAATTGAAGGCTAATTCGTAAAATTACCCCAGAACTTTTAGTGAAATCCAACTTAATTTCTAATCTTTTGTTTTTTTAAATTTTGATACCTTGAGTCATCAGGTCAAAGTAATTAATCTGACTCCAGTAGGCTTCCCATCCTAATAGAAAAACGAAAATATTTTCTTTGACATAATAGCTACCAAAATCAGAAAAATGAAATGTCTGAGGTTAGGTTAGATTTTACCGGAAATACAGAGGGTCATTTTATCAATTAGCCTGAATTAAAAAGCTGCCTCAGTTGTTAAAGGCAAACCCTTTGAAAGAAAAAAAGGTCCTCTTTAATACATATTAGCAATACAGATGATTGATTCTCTTATAAATGGTATATAAATTATGCCAAAAATCATCAGCCCATGATTTCATTTTTGAGAACAAAGTTATTACTAGCTTCACCACTGCATAAACCACCGATCTTTACAGTCATGGACTCTTATGGATCACAAAGACTTGTGGCTTTAGCCCAACAGCTTCGCTTCTACAAACCATCCTCCCCATCACCAGATGAAACTGAAGAACAAAACATAGAGGTGGGTTTTCAAGAATCTGCAACCTCAATCGGTAAAGACCCTGAAAGGTTTAGACCCAAAAAAGCTGCTGTTTTGGTCTGCATTTTTGAAGGTGATGCTGGTGATTTTCGTGTCATTTTGACTAAGAGATCTTCCAGATTGTCTACTCATTCAGGCTAGTGGTGTTTCTATTTTTTTTTTTTTTTTTAAAAAAAGAGAATTGGAGATTTTGAGTGCTGTTTGTTTTCTGGTTGTTTTTTTCCTTTGACTCTGGGGATATGATGTCAATTCAGTTGAATGGTTATTGTGACTTGCTGAATTTTGGATGCTCTGCATGTGCCAAATCCAAAATTTTCATATCTTTAGTAATTGATGATAAGAAATATAAGGGCAATTCAGTTATATAATTTATCCCAATTTTTTAGTTTTTGCATTATGTAGTTAATAGTAATTGCACTTAAATAATACGTCTCAACTTGAGTGATTAGACTGGATAAAGATGGTAATGCTGTCGAAGATAAAAGGAACTGAATCTTAGTGCTCTCTTTTGAGGTTTACCCCTAAGTTCAAATTATTTTAACTCAGCTCAACTGAGTTATTATATGCTTAAACAAATGCTGGAGCAGACCAAGGTTTAGAATTCAAACCATCTCTTTTGTGCAATGTTGAAGTAATCAAATAGAGCAGAAGTTGTTGAACTCAATTGAACAAATAACTAAAGATTTGAACAAATTTGGAGATGGAAAGAAAATTTCAAAACTTAATGATTCGCTTGAGTGGTTAAGGTAGTTGTCCAAGGTTCAATTAGTCTGACAATTGGAGTCTTGTATTATACAAAGCTGGCCTATCATTACTTAATGAAGATTTGAGATTGAAATTTGGTTTTCTTTTCTCCAATTTTTGGCCAAGTTGCGACAATGTAATACCAACACTGATGCTAAGGTACGGGGGGCTGTTGTTTTGATCAGTCATTCCACTAAGTGGGCGTATTTGGTTGCAGGTGAAGTTTCATTACCTGGGGGGAAAGCAGAGGAGAGTGATAAGGATGATTTTGATACAGCAACAAGGGAAGCGAAGGAAGAAATCGGGTTGGATCCCTCACTTGTGAATGTTGTTACTGTTCTTGAACCATTTTTGTCTAAGGTATGAAAAAGATGCTTCTTCTATGCTCTCGACTTTTATGACTTTCCTTCTTTTTTTTTTTTTTAATTATGGATTATGGTTTCTGCTGATTTGCATTTTATTTCATTTGATCGACTACGCTGTATGATTGACTCAAAATTTGTTTGAAAGAGGGAAGTTATTCATGTAGACAGCTTGAGGATTAGACTGACAGTGACCCTTGTGGAATGAACCGTAGCACAAGATTATCATAAAGTATGGTCAGAGTCCAAAACCTTGACGAACCTTCCGATTAGCCTCTGTTATTGTATTGTAAATAGTAAACTTTCTTGTATTTACTCTTGTTAGAGGTTTGGAGGGGAAGTAGGGTGGTTTGCATCAATAAGGAAGTGACTGGCCAAAATATGATGGGTTCATAGAGATTTTCTAGGCATGATTTATTTCCACTTTTACTTTCCCATTTATTCAATTTTGATGTTTCCATTTAGCCTGTAAGTGGGATTGATTTAGTTGGAGGTGGCATAGCGTTGGACCTACCATATGACATTTTGCCAATTACTTGAAAGTTTCTCCCACCATTATTCTTCATAAGTGATCTTGATACTACCTCTTCTCCCCATGTTAGATTGTCATGATGGTTGGCCTAGTATATTTGAAATGAATTGTTTTATACGTTTCAAAGAATACATAATTGGGGAATGCTTCACTTAGTAAGTTTAACTTATCATATCTAGAATTTATGAAAGACAATGCTATAATGCTTCCTAGACAAGACTGACCAACGTGAATGTGTTGCATCACAGAATGGAATTGTAAATTGTTTGTAATCCAAACTGTCATCCATAATTTAAGTATCATGAGGTTGTTTGAAAGTTTAGTGGCTCTTTTGTATCATACATCTTGCTTTCTCTTTAGACATGAACAAGTTTTGTTCTAAAGTCAGGGCATTTGAAGTGAACAACCTCCTAAACGTGAGATTTGAGAACAGTGCAAAAGGATGCATCTGTTAGCTATCTAGCTATTTTCTGTTATGAAACTGCGATAATCACATGAACTATATAGAGCAATTCATTCTATGAGAAATTCTGTAGGAAAAGAATGCTCATTTTTGTCAAATGTGCCTTCTCTACTGCACTCTTGTTTCTGCTTTCTGTTAGCTAAAACATCATACGCCATGATGATTTATGGGCCTGGATCCAAACCTTTATCCGTGGAACTTTTCTTTTTTTCTTTTTGGAGAATTTTATCCGTGGAACTTCAGTTGTGGATTTCCTGACTGGTACTTCAGTTTTGACGTTGTCATATTTTTTAATAATCAATATCAATGTAACATATCTGTTGATAGCTATGATTTATGCATGATGTGTAAACTGCATGGTCTGGATGGATGACATATTTAACTAATTAGCATTTAAATTGTCTGATAAATATGTCTAACTAAATTGTCTGAGAAATGTGTCTAACTAAACCTGTATGTTAGATGTCACAGAAAATCAAGCTGCTATTGTCAGTTTTTCGGTCTTAGGAATGATTGCTTTTCTTGCAGCACCTCCTGAGAGTAATTCCCGTTATAGGCATTCTCACTGATAAAAAGGCATTCAAGTCCACTCCAAATCCTGCTGAAGTGGAAGCAGTATTTGATGCTCCCTTGGAAATGTTCATTAAGGTTCACCTCTTTCACTTTAATTAGTTGACTAAATCATTAGGTTTTCTTATAAAGAAATATGTATGGAATGTTTTGTTCAGGATGAAAATCGACGAGTAGAGGAGAGAGAATGGATGGGAGAAAAGTATCTGATTCATTTCTTTGACTATGAAACGGGGAATAAAAAGTACTTGATATGGGGTTTAACTGCTGGGGTTTTGATTAAAGCTGCTTCAGTGGTCTACCAACGGCCACCAGCTTTTGTGGAGCAGAATCCAAGGTTCAAGTTTCCTGAAGGTGCAAACAATGACACGGTGATGCGTTGAATAATTCGGGGAAAATATTGTTGGGTTGTGCTCGGATTCTCGGAATAATCATCCTTCTTCAATAAAAACCCTCACAACCCACGCTTGTTGAACCAGTTAATTTATTCAAATGTATGTACTAAATAGCATTGTCGGTAGATAGGCAGAATGTGTCATATCTTTTAGGCAATTGTAAATTGGGGAGACTGATTTTATAGAGGCAAGGAGGTACTGGATCAAATTTCAACAAATTCTTTGAGGAGACTCACCTATAGTTGTCTCCTTCAACTTCAGTTAGTTCTATTGGATGACTTAAAAGTTTTTCAGTAGCTAAGTTCTTGCTTGAACTGATCCCAGAGCTAAAAAGCTTACACAACTGTTAATAAACAGCATTGCACTTCTTCAGTTTCTTCTGCATTTGAGGATTAAGCGTACCTAATGCCTGCTTTTATTAACTTGGCTCTTTAAACAGTAGAGTTGAAGCTTGCCTCTACAAATAAGAGCTTTGTTTTCCATAGATGCTACTTTTGTTAAAAATGTTCCTCGTCCAGGTGTTGTACTTTTATGCAAATTGTATAAGTAAACTATTGTTTCTAATATTTTGGAAATATTTCTTTATTGTTGCCCTCTTGTTTGCTCGTATCATTGATACAGTTCTTGGCTGTTGAACATGGAAAACATTCCAAAAGGTGGAATCTCGATAAAGATTTAAAGTTCATCTAAAATTATCCTGCCGATTGCAGATTCTTTTGTCCTATTTAATGTGGTGGTTATATGCTATTCAGACTTCAGAGTATAACAACCTCCTTTTCTTGGAAAGGTAGATTCCTTGTTTCCCTTTATGGTTGAAATCATGAGACGGTGCCATTCAACATCATTTCTCTCAGGACAAAGCAAAGTGAATTTACCTTTGATCTTGTTCCTTAAATGGTGGTAGCTTGCCATGAATGTGTAAGAAAATATTTTAGCTTTGAATCCTGTTTCTCTCCCTTTAGCATCCTTTCAAGGAAATTTTTTTTTTTTTTACGAAAAGGATTAAAAAAAGAAAAAGAAAAAGTAAAGTAAAGTGAAAAAACGAAAGAATAAAAAAACGGAAGAAGTGAATTAATTAAAATCTACAAATGAAAAATGAAAAATGAAAAATGAAAAAAAAAGAAAAAAAAGAAAAAAGAAACGTTGAATGGACCGTAGCCTAAGCCCAACAATTCCTGGCGATAGTTCTCACCTCAATCAGCTCATTCCTGTGCTCCACACCTACCTACCATCTTCAATAATGTTGGTTATTCAAATTAATTCTCATAATTGATTGCTATATAGAAATTTGTTAGCTTTTATGTTTCAACAAGAGGGATTTCGTCAAAATGCTGGAATCATTTGGAACGAAGATAATAATAATTAAAAAAAAAAAACAGAAAAATTAATTGGCTTATAGGCCTGAGAAACGCTGTTTTTATGATATTTATTTATTTCACATGGAGACAACATTTTCAGGATACAACTAAGTTTCTAAGCTCTTTAAAAGAATAAAAAGAAAAGACTTAAAAAAAAAAATTTGATGTGTATTTAACTGTGTAATAAAGGGTCTATATTCATAGACTTTAAACAATGTAATGAAACTATATATATATTTTTTTATTAATCTGAATAACTATTATTTTTAAGTTTAATTTCAACAACCACATTAATTTGTCAATAAATTAATTTCAAAAGTTAAAAGATAATTTTTTTAAAAAAATTAATCTTATTTGCAAATTTAGTTCTAAGTGCCAAGTATCAATCTCGTGGTATAGACTTCACTAGCATAGCCGCAGGTTCAATAAAATAAAATTATTTTAAAATTTTAAACTTTTTTAATTATAATAATTTTTAATTAATTTTTTTCTAATGTTTTTATAAATTCTTTACTTAAAAAAACATAAATAATTCTTCTTTATATATATATATAGTAATCAATAAAATTAGCATAAAAAATAATATTTGAATAATTGGTTGATTCCTTCAAAAAATTATTTTTATTATTTTATTCTAAATAAATTGGTTCTATAATGTTAAAAAAATATTTATAGTAAATAATTTGTATTGCTCGGGAAGATGTATAGTTAATTTTTAAATTTAGTAATCAATAAAATTAGCATAAAAAATAGTATTTGAATAATTGGTTGATTCCTTTAAAAAATTATTTTAATTATTTTATTTTAAATAAATTAGTTCTATAATGTTAAAAAAATATTTCTGGTAAATAATTTGTATTTTGTTGGAAGATATATAGTTAATTTTTAATTAAATCAACGATTTAATAATTTTTTTTATACGTCTTGTCCATATCTAGTGAAGTGAGACAAATTATTTAAAATACACTTGTAACCTTTTAGATAAAATAATTATATATTTATATATATGCAATTATCATGTAAAAATTCTAAGAATTCATGATATATATTATAGCAATTTTTTTTTTTACAAAAATCATGTTTTAAAATTTTATTCTAAAAGTCAAACATAGAGAAAAATAAATTATACAATATCACTAAATAAAATTTCATATAAAAAATATTAATTGGATGAGATTTTTTATATAAAAAATGATAAATTCAAAGAATGAAATTTAAATAATAAAAGTAATATAAGTTGAAGTATATGTTAATTTTAAAATATATAAAAATATATTATATAATCGTCGGCTTGTGTGGAAAAAAGTTATGATTGATTTTTAAAAATTTTAAAACCTAGTTAAAAAAAAAAAAGAATATAAATTGATGGGAAAAAAAATTGATTTTTCAAAATTGTAACACCCAATCAAGTAAAAAAAGAGCATAAATTGATGGAAAAAAACAAAGAAAACAACCCCAAGAAAAGAAAAGGCACGCGTAATGCATCAATCCAAGGATTCAAATTTTTATTTAAAATTTTTAGGGATCAAAATGAAATAACTTAAAAATTACAAAAAAAAAGAACTAAGCTACAATTTTTAGGAATCAAACTGAAATAACTTAAAAATTACAAAAAAAAAACCTAAAGCTGCAAGTGGAACAATGATTTACTTGTTCATATATCCTGCGTGTTGTCGCGGGATAAGCTATACAACATTCTTATGTGTTCATTAATATAAAATACAAAATTTAAAAGTATCATGTGAAAAAAAAATTCAAAAAAAAAAAAAAGAACCAAAACATATATCTCATATTTTGTTAGCTAAACTAAAAGTCTACAAAGTTGAGTAATATAAAGTTGCTAATTAGTTATTGTTTCATATAAATATATATTTTATTAGAAATATGTATAATAACTGGTAACTAAACTAATGATATATTAGTTTTTTGAATTATAGATGATTAATTTTTATCATATATTCTTCATCCGTAATTTGTTAACGAGATAGAAAGATCACTCAAAACAAAAAGACAAAAAAGCTTATTCAAATTGAGAATTTGGCCAAAAAAAAAAAAAATAGAGATAAAACTAAACATGATAAAAATTAAATGATAAAAAAAGTAAAGATTATAAAAGAAGGATCAAAATAAATAAATAAAAAACTTTCACTAAAAGCAAAAAAAAAAAAAAAAAACTAAAACAATAAGACTAAAAAAATTCATTTTGCATGAGGTAGGAACAAAAGTAAAATTTAATAGAATTTTAATGACCAAAATAAACAAAAATTTACAAAATAAGAACCAAAATAAAAAAATATTTTTTGCTAAAAAAAAAAACTTAGAATAGTTAAATTTTATTTAATTTTAATGTAGGAAGAATAATAATCAAATATAATAAAAATTTAATCATCAAAATAAAAGAAAGATCACAAAATGAAAAGCAAAACATAACAAAAAGTTTTAATAAAATTAAAAAATAGTTCCTTATAGGGAAAAAATCAAATATAATAAAAATTTAATGATCAAAATAGAAAAATATTACAAAACAGGGACTAAAAAAAAAAAAAATCTACTAAATTTAATGGCCAAAAAAAAAAAAAAAATCACAAAATAAGAATTGTAATAGAAATAAAAGTTTCACTAAAAGCACAAAAAAAAAAGAGCGAGTTTAGGATAATGAAACTTTATTTAGTTTTAGTATAGTAAGGATAAAAATAAAAAATAATAAAACTTTAATGACCAAAATAAAAACACATCACAAAATAGGAAAAAAAAGGAGCATAAATTTTACTAAAAGCCAAGAAAAAATATTTATTATGGAGACAAAAATCAAATATAGTAAAATTTTAATATTTATTATAGGGATAAAAATCAAATATAATAAAATATTAATGATAAAAAAATTTACAAAATAGGGACTAAAATAAAAATAAAGTTTATATAGAGGGCCTTGTTACAGCAAACGGAAGGGAAAAAAACAAAAACAAAAGAGGGCATCGGGTGCAAACAGAAGGAGAAAAAAATTACAAAAGTCTAAGTCGTTATGTAACGATAATATGCTTGAAAGGCAATTATCCTAACCGTTGGATTGTAAAAACATTCTTGCACTTGAACTACAATATATATATATATATATATATATATGTGTGTGTGTGTGTGTGTGTGTGTGTGTGTTAACGGGGTTGTGAACATTCGGAACTCCCTTAGTAATTTGCTTTCTTTCAATACAAATTACACCAACAATTTTTCACTAATGTGTAAACATATTTTGCAATTTAGACCCTTAATTAGGTTTAGATTTTGAATTTTACTAAAATCATTGGTATCCGTAGATTAAACCAAGATGCTTTTTAAATACATTTGCAACTACGTACTTTAACACTTATTATGGCCATGTGCAATTTTTTTTTCATGAATATTTACAAGAGAAAACCCTAACTCTTGTTGGAAGCGGCGCCACTTCTATAATTTTATAGGTGGAACTTCTACATGTTCCCGTTACTTTAGACCTAAACCGTAAATTTCATTAAGACTTTACTATCACATATGTGGGTTTTTTCTAAACTCCCCATTTAGACACTTGATTCACTTTTTTTAAAAGGTCGAATCACGTCGAGTTTTTCCTCGTAGCAAGTTGTGAAGTAAGAAAGA